TCGGTTTCGGCTTCGGCGCTGCTTCGTGCGTCTCGTAGTTGGGCCGACGAGCCGTGGCGCCGGTACCGCTCACCTCGGGCCACTCCATCGGCGATTGGGCCTCTGGCATGTCTGGAGAGATGGAGGGTATAGATGGACAGGCAAGATTAGCTGTAGATGACGTGGCAACAGTAAAACCCGACCCTTCAGTTGGTATTGTTCAGACATTGTCTTTGTGTGAGAGTGTGTCTGATGAAGAGATTGGTGGGTCGAGCTCAGCGCAAGACAACGGCAGATTCACAATGTCCATTAACGTGTTGAATCTACTTTTTATTTCGAGGTTTGATTCTTGATGAAGCGATTTGAAGGTGGATCTAACCAGAAGACGATATCCAGTGCATTCCTTTTGACCGGCTGTCGACTGGCTTTACTCGAACATTCTTGTTGAAGGCCGAACCTTCGTACATCAGATGAAGGAGCCATCAACATCATCAACATCATCATCATCTTTACTACCATTTTCAGGCTAATGAATCTTATGGTGGGGTCTATCCTCGAATATTTTCACCAATCGCTTTTAATCAAAATATAAGGGAACTCAGCGCTAGATTCTTCGAAATCAGACTTTATTTCGCATTTAACACTTACAATATTCAGTCCAACGCAGTCCACGAGTGGTCTTGTAAAGTTTTATAGCATCACCAGAACTAAAATCATCTTTCAAATTAAGTATTGTTGTCGTGACTACCAGTAAATCAGTAGTATGAGATGAATTCACCCAATTTCGTCTAAGGTGATGAAGGACAATGATATGAGTTGAGCTGACGCTTCCATTGAATTTAATCACCTTAAACGAAATTGGGTGAATACATCTCATACTACTGATTGACTGGTAGTTACGAAAACAATACTTAATTCGAAAAATAAAGTATATTAGCCGATTGTTATAGCAAATTTACGTTTGCTTCATTGAAAATTCCACCAAAACAATATTATACTGCGAAAAAAGGCCTGGCGGTTAACTCCCGCTGAGGGTGTGGATAAGACCGATGCGGGGTCGAAACTGCAGCCCACTGGTGTCTGGATGAGAACAACTTTTGGGAAAGCAAGGCTATGTGAAATTGAATGGAAACGTCGGCTCAACTCATATGATTGTGAGATGATTCTTTTTCTACCAGACCTTCATCACCTTAAACGAAATTGGGTGAATACATCTCACATTAAAATCATCTTCCAATCAACACCAAGTAAGCTATACTATCCT